CAGCCTCGCAAGTTTGGTTTGGTTCTGCTTTTGCTGGGTGCGGCTTTTCTGCCCGCCTGGCAACTTGCTTGGCGCGGCTTTTCTGCCCGCCTGGCAACTGCAGTAGCCTAGGCGCGGCTTTTCTGCCCGCCTGGCGTCGCCATGGCTGCGCCGAATCCGGCATTTGTGTTGCTGGCAGACCTTCTGCGAGACTCGGTGTCCGACCTGCCTTCTTGGATTGGCTTTTACGCCGGTGGCAAAACGGACGTTTGCCACCCGAGATGGGACTCGGATTTTGACGGGGCCAAGGCCGATCGGGATGGCTTGACCGAGGCTTTAGCTTCCACTACAGTGGTGGTGCCGGCGTTGCTGCTCTGGCTTGATGACTTCATGACTGCGCACAGGGTGCACAGCTGCTGGAAGCACACGCTGGACGGTGGCTGTCTCTGGCATCAGTTCGAGCAGGGTGGCGACAATTATTTGTTCAACGCCATGTGGGCCTTGACTTTGACTGTGGTGTGCTGGCTGCGCCACGTGTGCAAAGGCAAGAAAGTGCCACAGGTCCGGCTGATTTGTCTTTGCAATGCTGGCAAGCATCGCAGCGTGTTCTCTTCGCGGATGCTATACTTTGTGCTCCAGCTTCTTTACGACCTGCTGGGGATCCAGCAGCGAAGGTTTACTTGGCAGTGGGCCGCGGAGCGGCGAGTGCAAGCGGAGCTGAGCGAAGCAGCTCAATGCCGCGACAACAAGGCGGCGAAAGTCTGCTTCCGACAGGCGGACCTGGTGGTGTCGCGCACCCGACGGATGTTCCTTGGCGGCCGAGTTCCGGCGCACTTGCACAGCGTGCAGCTGTTGGACAAGGACCTTCGAGAGACGTCCACGACTGTATCCGCTGGCTACAGCGATATTTGCCTCGACACGCGCAAGTTCATCCAAGCGGCTGCCGCCGAGCGCGGCACGCCCCTCAGAAAAGCTTGGCTGGCAGACTGGCTGGAAGGCGCCGGCCTCGCTGCCCTTACCGCTCAAGGCCGCGCTGTACTTCAGCAAGCTTCCCGCGTGCGTATGGCCCGCCACTGGTGCCCTATCATGCGCGCTCTGCAGCAAGCTTTCCCGGAGCGCTGTGGCTTGTGCGCCTGTCCCTTTCAGCTCAGCACGCCTTGGGACACGCTTGCAGCGGAAATACACGAGCACTTCATTTCTACTGGGGATGGTGCGTCTTTTCTGACCACCTCCCCGGAAGCAGCGTCTGTTGCGGCTTTTTTGAACGCTTCCCCAAGAGCAGCCTCTGGCAGTGGTGCGGCTTTTCTGCCCGCCGCTGCGGGGAAGGTGCGTCTTTTCTGACCGCCTCCCCGAAAGCAGCCACGACTCGCAGACCTGCGTGGGCTGACGTGCAGGACGACTCTGCCCACGCCGCGGCTGCGCCCAGCGCCAAGAAAAAGAAAAGGGTGTCCTTCGCGCCAGAGGTGGCCCAATCTGCCGCGGCCGACGTGGAGGACACCGCGCTGTGCTTGGTGCTGCCTTGCGATGCCCCACGGCGTGCTCTTTCAGCCAGGTGCGCAGACGCTGTCTCGGCGCGGGGTGGACTGCTTGCTTGACGTTACTTCGGACGCGACCTTGCTTTCGTTCCGGGTCATACAGAGCGCGGAGGACGCTCAAGGCTTGATTGCCTACGCTAGCGAGTTGCTGGCATCTAGTCGGGAGTTGCAGCAAGAGCTTGCAGCGCTGCAGCGTATGCTTGTTGCCGCGGAGGTTTTTCCGGAGTTGCCTCTTGGTGGTATGCCGGCCATGGCGCTCTTCCAGTGTCTGGTCTTCCTTTACATGTGGTCGGTGCTCACCTTGAATTATTCATTTTTGCTGTCCAGCACCTTCTTAAGACTGGTGGCTTTGCCGCTGCAGGAGGCGAAAAATTTTGATATCTTGGCCGTGGTGCACAAGTACTGCTACGTCACGTGGCTCCACCGGACGGCGCGTCCGAGCTGCTGGCAAGGCAACGCTCTCCGCTTATTGCTGCCAGACACTGCCGACTGGGAGGCTTGGTGGGCGGCGCAGCAGGACGTGGCGCACGAAATTGATGAGACTGCCTTCTCGGAAGAGTACGCGCTTATGTGCAGGGATCCTTTGATCCCCGAGGGCTACCGGGCAGACTTGAAGCAGGTGCGGCGCCATGTGGCTGCTTCCGATCTCGGCTTGCTGCCGGAGCTTCCGCCGCGGCAGTCCTTTATGGAGCACGATGTTTACTTGGAGGCAAGCGGCGCTTTGCCCTTGCCGAGAGCCTTGCCGGCCATTCGATGCTCGGCCGGGGCGATGGAGGTGAACTGGGGCGACAACACTGGTGAGCCCCTAAACACTTCGCGGGACAATGTGATCTCCGAGACGGATGTCTGCTTGCAAGTCCCGTTGCCGGTGCCTGCAGATATGACTTTGGGGCACGTCCTGCTTTCAAGGGACTGGCGAGCCTCTTTCGAGCAATCCAATCTCGGCATGCCTTGGTGGATGTCAGACGCAGGCGGCTTTTCTGCCCCTGCTGCTGGCCACGCAGGCGGCTTTTCTGCCCCTGTCTCAGCCCTTGGAGCGCAAATCCACTTGCAAGCTTTGGGAGCTGAAATCATGGCCACGCTGAGGCCCGACAGTGTGATGCATCCACACTTGCGAGCACACGTGGAGCTCATGCTGGGCATGTGTGCTTCCGTGCACTTGGCGCGCCAGGAGGCTTGGGATGTTGCCTTGTATGACTTTCTTTTAGGCTGCGGCATCAGAGCGCAGCGCACGCGTCCTGGCGATGCCGATGCCGGCTGGGTGGCGCATAACTACCGCAAGAGGCACCACGCTGCCCGCTCTGTGGTGCGACCCGTTTGCTGCACCATGTGGGGTGAAAAGTATCGCCCCATTGGATACTTAAACGATGCGGGGGACATCCAGCACTACTTGGTGCACGACACATGCCCTCTTGGAAGATGTCGCAGGCACAAGCAGCTTATGGGCTTTGGCACCGTGTGCCCACACTGGCATGGCTTCAACAAAAAACACGGCATCATGGCCACTCTGAACGCGCAGCGATACTTGAGGTACACGGAGATCGGAAGCAAAGGGGCTGACCCGCGCGCGCGAGACCAGCGGGCCAGCCAGTATCTTCGCACGCTTTTGCAGGAGTTAGGCTTTGTGGCCCGTGCGGACGAAAGAGCAGCAGACGGCGATGACCGCGTGATGCTCATAGGCCTTCCCCGCTGGCTCCCTGAGTTTCACAGCAACGAAGGCCAAGACATACCCGGCTTGGTTGCCTTTACTCCGCTGCACGCCAAAAAACACTTCGAGCAAAATGACATTGACGAGTGTCTCCAGCTTCGCACCGCGGCGCAAGAGGTGCACGATGACCTTGAACGCTTGACAAGACAGCGCTGAATGCGCTTGAGATGCGCCAGGGTGCGTCTTTTCTGACCGCCCGGCGCTTGCCAGGCCGTGTGCCTTGCAGTGTGCCTTGCCTGGCAGCATGCGTCTTTTCTGACCGTGCTGCCTTGAACAGAGACAAAGTGAATCTGCCCGCATAAAAAGGAAAAAGAGCCGGTGGGACAACGGGCGGGCGGATGGTAACAAAGGGTAAATGATGGAGGCTTAAGACTTGTCAAACATTTGCGGTCAGGCAGGCTCCCTGTCAGCCAGGTTTTCTTTCCAGTTTTTGTCCGAGCGGTGGAATAGTTGCCTGTGAAGACATGACCTGTTGATTTCTTTTGTGACCGTTTGGCCATGTTCGTCACAAACAAAACATGATTGGTTTTCAATTTGGCCCCAAACATGTTTGCCCTGGTTGTTCAAGCCTCCTATAGTGGTTCTTTTTTAGAAACTTCCGCCACCGCCTTGCGCGGTACTACTTGTAAAGGTTTAAATAGACATCCAAAACACCATATGCTCGCTTCCTGAGACTGGCCATCCTGAGTGGACAAAGACAAATCCCGACTTGTTGTTTGCCACTAGAATGGTCTTCCCAACAAGTCACTGAAGTCCATGAAGCGAGTGACGAAGCCAGGCGGAAAAACCCCCAGCTCATAGTCTTCGGTTTGGGGACGGTTGGGCGCAGCTAAGGGGCCTTGCTGGAACCGAAACCTGGTTTCCTGCGCCGGTTTGGAACCGACACACGGAACGCATCCCATTTGTGTGTTCGTTTGGAAACATATGGCCGGTGATAGGTTCCCTTTAAGTTCAACAGGGGGAAACGCACAAAAACAAGTTCTTAAGCCTTTTTTCAGGGACCAACAGCTGGAAGCCATGGGGCCGATAGGCCCAGAAAGGCTCCTTTCGGGGGGCACCTTTCAGGGAGGTTCGGGAGATTCAGTTGGACCAATGGACCAAAAAAGTCCGACGTACCTATGACCCAAGTACCTACTGTGGATGGACGAAACCCTGCACCACGAAATGAAACCATGGTTGAAACCATAACCTTTGCTGGCTTTCGCAAGGGAAAGCCCATGGTTCCGTCTCTTAGGTGGTGCGAAATGGATTTCGTCCATCCACAGTATGACCCTAAGATGAGTTTCATTGAAGGCTCCTGGAGCCATAGTGTGGATGGACATTAAATCCACGCCACTTGGCATCTGATTTGCCCAATCGAAGGATCTCATCCATCCCAACTGGTGCAGGCGAAATTTTCGCACGTCGTCCACCAGGGGCAAAAGCCGGCGCGCAAAATACGTGCACATCCGCACCTACTTCAACTATTTGATAGTACTTGCAGTGGGCATCCTTGCCCGGCACAAGTACGATTTCAAATCATCTGCACCAGAACCACATCCAAGTTCTGTCTAGCATGCCGAGAAGACCATTTTGGCCTGAGACCTCTCTTCAAACCAACTCCACCCCCCATCCCCTCCATCCCCTTCCAACTTCAGCTTTGAAAAAAAAATGCAAAAAGAAAGGTCCCCGCTTTTCAAGTTGCAAAAAGACTAGGATTGGCCAACCTCAACCCATCTCAACCCATCCCCATCCCCCAATCCCCCACCCCCAGCCCAGCCCCCCTCCCCGCCAAGCGCCTCCGCTAGGGCCGCCGCCAGCTTCGCCCCCGGCGGACCGTGGTGGGCGGCGCTCGGCTCGAGCGCCGGAGGCCGCGCCTTCGCCGAGATCGCCTCCTGAGAGGCGAGAGGCGGAAGCGCGCGGGGTGGGTTGGTGGGTTGCTGGGTTGGTGGGTTGCTTGTTGGCGCGGGAAGGTGGGAGCGGGTGAGTGGCCATGCCATGATCTTTTTCCAGGGGACAATCCGGCAAACATGTAGTGGAACGCAAATGGGAGGCGGCAGGATAATCACGGTTTACCCCCCCCTCCCTGTCTACGTGGGTTTTGTTGAATGGAGCCAGGCAAATGGTAACCCTTGTCAAGGAGACTGGTCTTTCACTCTGTGTGGGGGGGGGGGGAGGGAGAAACAACCACAGAAGTCACACCGATTTGGAGCGGGCCCTGATCAACTGTTCCAAGCTGGGCGATTGCTTCGTCTTTATACATAGCTCTCCCAACCCAAGAAACACATTGCCCGAGAACTGCCTCGAGAATGATGTCAACCCCCTGTTTCAGCCAAGGCTCAACCACTGTTGCTTCAATGCACCCCCTTGGGTGTCCCTTTAAGAGGAACCAGGACATGGGCTATTGAAACAAATTTTGCCCCGCCCTGGATTCCAGCCCCCGTCCCCCCGCCCAGAGTGTTGCTAAGGCAGTGAGTCTCACAGAAGCTCGGCCCAAGGCCAAGTGAGTCGTTGACTGGAAGTACAAAAGCCCGACTTTCAGCCGGCGGCAAAAGCTTTTTTTTTTTTGCCAAGAATGGACAAACAGAGAACAGAACCCTTCTCTTAACACGGAAGTGGACAGTCCGAGGGGTTTTTGGAAGACTGCATCCTCCCCTTTCGAGGCCTTTCAAGGCCCGCTTCCACCCGGCGCCCTTCCGGGAGCTTTGGGCAGCTGAACCAGCTCCTTCGACTCCGGTAGCTCCTGTTCCTGAAGCTCCTCTGCCTCTTGCTCGGGCTCCTGCCGGATGCGGGGGCCCCGAGGTTGCCCCACAAAAGGGGAACCACATGAGGGCAAAGAGAGGCAGCCCTGCCTCACCTTTTGGCTTCACCAAACATTAAGACCAAGTTTTGTTTGGCAAAGATGTGCCGAATCACAGGGATTTTGGAAACTACAGGAGGTCTGGCGGGTGACTCTGAAGGTGTGCGTCAAATCCGCCGACGCCAGTCGAGCGTGTAGATGGCAGTCCGCAACTTGGTCTTCCTTCGGAATCTCTTATCAAAGCCGAAGGCTTTTGGGACTGCTATTTTTTGGGCATGCTGTGCTACGTGTCCATTACCCTGTATTTGTCCAGTGTTTTTCGGTCTTTCGTGCTAGAAATCTGCGTTTCGCCTAGGTCTCCAAGGGGGGGGGTCCCCCCGGACGCGCAGGATCTGCATCCCCAGCATCATCAGGATTATCTTGTTGCCATGAATTTGTGGCTTTCTTTTGCAGATACTAGTGGCGTTTTGCTGTTTCAAGCGATGTTGGAATTAGCCTGTATTCCCCACCTGTACGGAGCAGTTACTGCGAAACATCCCCTGCATTTAGGGTATTTGAGGGGGGTTGCTAGTATCGTTTTTTGATGGCTGCTGTTGGGAAATATTGAAAAACCCTGGTTTTTGCACTTTTTTGTGGCTAGCCGGCTGCATTCCCAGCATTCCCCACAACTCTCGTATTGTCTGTGTTTGGTCAATGTCGCGTGTGTGAAAGTCTTAAAATCTTGAGCGTGAAGATTGGGTTTGTTCTTGTAAGTTGTGTGGCTGCATCCCTTGCATTTCCAGCATCCTCAGCATCTGGGACATGAAAAATGACCTAGGCAAAAAGACGTCTTTTTCCTGACCCCAAACTTGAAGCACCCTGCAGTTTGTTAATGGGGGACTGTCCACTGGCGTCGGCGGATCGCGTAGCGAAAAGAAATAGGTTGGTTGCGAGACCGTGTATCTGGCAGTGGTGGTGCGAACCGTCTGTAGGCCCTTTCAATTGAGCCTCAAGGGAGAAATCCTCAATCAATGGCCTATCAATGGCCTTGTCCACGGGTTTCCCGTTGGGGGGAGGGGGGGGTTCTGGAAAGTTTTCTGATCCCCCGCCAAAAGTGGCGCACTTTTAGTGGGCTAAATGGAAAAACCCCCCCACCTAAACACGAAAAGGCTAAAAAGCTAAGGAACTGGATGGTGTTCGGCGCGGAGCCACCAATTTTGAGGCCATTTCCCGTGGCCCCCGCCTGGCACGCCACCTCGGGCGCAGGCGCGGGCGCCGGAGCTGCCATCGCGGGTGCGGGGTAATCGCCCGGCCCCTCCCTGGCGGAAGGACGGGGTGACGGAAGGCGAGTTCCTTCCCCGCAGAGTGACCACGTGGAGACCGAGACGGGTCTGCTCTTTTTTTTGTTGTTGTGGCACCCTTTCTGAGGTTGGCTGAAAACGGTACACCACAAGCAACACCACTTTCTCTTTGTTTTGGGAAGGAGGGGGAGGTGCCCTGATGTTCCCAGATGGGTACGTGCCAAAAAACAGATTCTGACCCCACATGTACACATATTCATCCAAATGTGTATATGTTCTATGTACGTCGGGTATATTGGTCCCAGTTTTGATCCTAGCGCCTAGCGCGCTGCTTTGATGTAAACTGCAAAGCTTGCTAGTCGCTTACTCGTGTTTGGCGCAGCCGTGGTTCTTTCATGTTGGGCCCATTGGTTGCATTGAAGGTGTCAAAACCTGATTAACCTGGCACGTGGTGTTGACCCCGGACTCATCAACTGGGCCCCTCCTTTTGAATCAGCCTGAGGTTGAATTATTTTCCCTGGGTTCCCTTCATCAAGGGTCGGCTCGGAGGCCGCCGCATGATATGCAAGTGCTGAGGTCGTCAGACCGAATCAACGACAAGGCCCGAGCGAGTTGACAACAAGTAGCTGATCAAGCAAGGGGCCATATCATATATCTGTTCATTACACATCCGCTTGTACGTGTAGCTTGTAGCCAATGGTTGGTCGGTCCCTTAAGTTTGGGCCCAAGACAGGGCCCGCGGCCGTTGACTATGGGGATACGCACTGTAGAAATGATCTACCCAAGGCCAAAAAAAAAAGGCATTAATTCCTTTCTAACTCACCTACACTTACCCCAGCTTTTGCGGCTCACGTGAGTCTTGGTGTCCCCTTTGTTTGAAAGCAACCCTTGAGACGCACATGAAGCTCGGGGAGCCTAAAGGCACCGCATGCCGTTGCCCGCGCTTGCGGTGTATGGCTGGGTCTTCGAAGGCTGCCGTGTACGGGTGGCCCACAAAATGGGGAACTCGCCAAATCGATCTCGGTGGTCCCTTTGGCTTCCAGAAGCTACCCCTCAAAGGAACCTTTGGAACCTTTGTCCAGTTCGGACCCTTCCGGGGGGATGGCTGAACAAGCCAGAAGCGGCAAATCCACCAAACTGGGGGGTTGCTTTCCCACCCGGCCCGGATTTGGCGAGCAAAGGAGAACAATTTGGATCTACATA